CCAATTTAATAATCAAAGTGGATTAGTAATCGCCAAGATTCAATACTTATTTTGGATTGCGAGATCACCATTTTGGAACCCAGGTACAGTTGCGACGATTCGGTTTATTTGAGCCGACTTCCTTGTCTTTGGCGCTCGCAAAGAAATATGAAAAGTCAAAGTTTCCACGGCGCTGGCAACGACAACGCCAGCAAGCAATGACAATGTTTCCGCTGCGAATAACTTTTGCCCAAGGATTTATAGTTAAGCGAGTGGGAGAAGAAGGAGCCGGTTGGCCGGGATCCTGGGATCCTGGGAAGCTGGCTAAAACCGAGTTGTCATAGAGACGCAGCACATCCATAGGCGGAGGACTCCGGCCAAAATGGCAGGAGGAGATGGGGACTCCAAAGGACTACGTGTGCCCGCCTCGAAAGCCATTTGTGCTTAATTGCGTGTAGGGCAACTAATGAGCGGAGTTATATACCCAACCAGGAGTCGTAACTGGCGGCAAGGACACCCGGAGACACCCGGGGACTACTGGGGACTACCGGGGACACCCGCCCTGCAAATGTTTATAATTTTTACGAAATAGAAGCACACGGCTCGCGGCTCACGGCTCACAGCTCGCACTCCTGCGCCTGCAAAATTTATTTGTAGCGCTGCGAAAATATTTATACTTTCTTCTGCAAATAAAATGTTACATTAATTTGCAAATGAGCCGGGGGTTGGGGCTGCGCTTTCTGAACTTTTGTGCCGCTAGAATTATGCGTGCCAAAGGGTTTGCGTTTGCCAGTTTGCCAGTGCGCCGGCCATGGCCAAAGTGTCTGCTGAGAGGCCATTAAGCGAGAGTTATATTGGCCGAAAAAGTGCCGTAAATTGCCAGACAAATGACTCGCCAAGGTGTTAATATTGATCACGATTAGGAGTTTGAGGTTATCAAAGTAAAAGGTAATAGGTCTTGGAAACAAAAGATATTAAAACGTTTTTGACAACTCTTTTAAGAAGAGATATCAAACCTTTAAGGATTTCAGCGTTCTTCAAAACTTTTCTCCTTATTCAATTGAAACTAGTTGATAGCAAGCATGACTGTACCCAAAATGGCGACGACAAGGGCGCAAAAAAAACCAGGAATTTTTCAACACCCACCCAGATCCCGCCACTGGAACCCCAAACTTGCGGTCACTGATTCATGTGACCCCCATCCCGATACCGGACTCAAAAAAAAAAACTGGCTGTACGCTTAATGTCCGAGGATGGGGTTTTAAGCAGCTGCTGCCAGTGGGAAGCCTTCTTACGAATGTAATTTTTATTTACACAATTTTAAGCTAATATAACGTTCAAGCCACGCCCCAGAATATCCGAGCCGGAATACAAGAAAAAACAGAAGCTGAAGCCCGAAAAAGAACACGAAGAACAAGAGGGCAACAAACAGAACGCGAGTCCAAACAAAAAAAAAAAAAAAGAAGGGGAATTTGTCCCAAAAAAGGATTAATGAAATAAAATTATCTCTTTTTCGGCGTAACGTGAGCCACTGGCAAACGGGGATGAGTGGGTGGTGGGGCTTGTAATGCGCCAGCCCTTTCCCCTCCCCCCCGTTCCATGTACTTCATTTCTTTTTTGTTATAACGCCTATTCTGGCACTGTAAAAAAAAAACATAGGCAATGCCAAAGCTCAAAATCTAAACCGAAACCTTTAAAAAAATTTGCCTGTTTTAAGTGATTTAAAGGAAATATGATCATTGATTTTTAGGTTCAAATATAAACCAGATTGAAGACTAGTTATGAACTTCTTTTTTCAGTATGTTTTCAAAACTCTTATCCTTTCCCAACTCTTTTTTCTCAACTGTGTGTGTGGGTTTTTTCGACGGAATTTTTGCGCGTAGTAATTGCCGGGGGTGTGGGGTTGAAAAAGATGGGATTGAGGGGTTATTGTCTCATCAAATGGGAACACGTACAAATCTTTTGTGTACCGAGGCCTGCCCAAACTATATGGCAATTTCCTTCGCTTAAGTTAACGTTCAAGGTGCGTGTCTCTGCAGATAAGTTCAGCCTCTTTTTCTTTATCCTGGTAATTCTCATAATTTAACATTTTTAAATGCATTCAAATTAAGTAGAGAGTGAAGGTAAGGTTCGCAAAAGGGTTGCAGGAACAAAAACTGTAGAAAAAGGCAGAAGAAGATGGCTTAATTGCATATAAATAACGAGAACAAAATTACATTTTCCTTAGCATTACATTCCAGATGTTCCAAGCATCGACAAAAAGTGGGAATTTATTCGAGATTTGTATATGGCAGTTCCTTTTTAATTGGTTTTTTGTTTGATTTGGTTTCTGAATTAAAGTAACTTTGTTTAGTCCTAAGCATAATACAATAAACTCGATTTATTCCGTTCTCTATCCAACAATTTTCAACTTTCATAATGAAGAATCTTTATGTTTATCCGAAATCCTTTCAAAGCCCTCCAGCCATTCTGGCTCCGAGAGACGCCAGCAAAATGCTCGAATTCCATTTTGGAATTAATTCAATTATGCACAAATGTCAAGATGAAATTGTGGTTGAATTGAAATTTTCGCTGACACATAATGGGTTAATGGCACGACGAATTCACCTGACCTCATCCTTTGTGCCCCCCCACTTGCTCATTTGTCCAAAATTCTCGGCGATGCCCTGGCAAAAGTTGATCAAACAAAGGACATAAAGATTTGAAAAACTCGCGCATCATTTCCAGCTCCTTGTTACCACCGTATCTGCCTCATTTCATGACCTAACCACCTCCGAACCGAGCAGTGATGGCATTTACGGATATTTACTAGAAATATTACCAAAATATTAAGTACCAATTTAAACATTTTAAAGATTACCTTTTGTTTTCGCAAATTATAAAATTCCAACCTATGTTTTATAGAAAGTTTTGCCATGAATAATATCCATTTAAATAAAAATTATTCATCAGGTAGTAAAAGCAACTTGATCCCAAAGGGTTTCGGTAAATTTTGTCATCTCAGGCATCCCCGATTTCCCTTATCCACTCGTTTCAGCACCCGTTGAGCTCCTTAAGACGACTCCTTGGCCCTGGCTAAATGAAATACATAAATGTCATTCATTCATTTATGCAAAACTTGTAATAATGACAATCGTCTTAGCCAGCGAGACGTTGAAAACTCCTGGCTAAAGAAGTGAAGATGTAGCTCTACGAAGCCCCCTGTAAACCCCCTAAAAAGCTACTCCCTTTCGCTGACGAGGACCAAAAACCCACGCAAAATAAAGTAACACAAGGAACAAAAAACGAGACAAGATGAAAAAAAAAAAAAACCAATGAAAATGAACCAAAATTAAAATGAAAATTTTCTGTTGACACCGAAAGATTTTCATGGCGAATGCCTGTCAAAAATTTTGTGTGTACGCTCGCGAAAAATTTTTCTGCCAAGGTGTGATAGTCCTCTACAGAGCCATCTTAACCCCATTCCCATACACCTCGCCACGTTGTTGTTGGGCGGTAATAAAATTCTTAATGTGCCATTAAATCCTTCCACTGGCAACGTCATCAGCGCGTCATGACTTTTGTCGTCGCCAAAAAACCGAAGAAGGTTGTGGCGGGGAAAACCCCAAAGGAGGAGGGAGAGGGGAGGGGGGGTCACTGAAAAATTGGGAAGGAGCCGTGATACTTGGACCTCCTGACTGAAGTTGTCTTGGAATTCAGCCAGGCGAATGGGGAAAATCTAACGAAAATGTTCGCTACGAAATGGCACGTAAATAAATTGCAAAGATTTGTCGTTCCCTCTTCTTTTCGGTGGAAAAGGAAAACCCCCTCGATTTCCACCTGCCCTTCGGCGTGGTTTTCCTCGCTGTCAGCGAGCCAACTGAAAAAGGACAACAAATGAGTTAACATTTTTGGTGGATAACAATTTTCATCGCCCCACCCACTGTCATTATGATTATTGTCCTTTGGTTGAGGTGATTCAATGCATTTAGATTGCATAATTAAGTTATATCCACCATGAAAATGTTCGCTTTTGAAATGTGAGGTTGAAGATCAATGGAAGAACCAGAAAGGGTGTGTCCTTCGTCTTGTACATTGAGTACAATAAAACGTCTGTAATTCGTTCAGAAAGTTTCATTTAATAACATAGTAGTACGAAAAGTATGACTTTTAAGCCAAATGGCATTAGACATTATATTTCTTAAAAGAACATAGGGAAACGTTTTGCATTTAAGTGAATTAAACCCATATTTCTTGGGTGCAACTGCAACTTTGCCCTCTTAGAGAATGCAAGGTGCTCAACCCCTTTTTCAAACATTTTCCCATTTCCCATTTTCCATTTTAATTTTTTGCCCCGAGAATTTCGATTGTTTGGTGGCCGACACGAGTGTTTAATATTTCCCCACAACAAAAGCGGCGGTTGGATGGCCACTTGTCGATATTTAACATAATTGTGCCATTGTTCAGAGGCCGACCACGCACATATGCGAAATCAAAAAGAGTTCAAGTGTCAACGTTTAAGTCGAAGAAGGGTGGCTCCAGAGTACCGGCTCAGGCAGTTAATGGTTCGCCAGTAGTGCTCGGATTCAGTTGGATTTTCCCAGGCGGATGTGCTGCCTCAAAATTGCAATTGCTTCAGGACCTGGCCCCTATAATTACACCTACATTCACGGAATAATTCGTATGAATATGCATACGAATAGTCAGTTCTTTGTTGTGGAAATAAAAAGGACTTTGGAACAAGTCCAGCGATTGTGCAGACACTGTTTCTGGCTCAAAAATTTCATTACAAGAACTATGAACTAGGAATTAAATATTGAGCACTTAAGAGTAATTTATACCCCGTTAAAAAATCGTATGCTTCAAATCTGAAAATAGAACAAAATAGAATATAAAATATTCGCTTTCAATTATTATGTAATTATTTGAAAACTTCTAGTTTTAAAACAGTAAAATTAAAACTTAGTAAGCCTTGATATTGTTCATTTTGGGACTCTAGCTGGCTGTGAGTCTAGTTTCACTTTGCCTTTCGAGCTGTCTGGTTGGGTCTCTCGAATTTTATCATTCAATCTTTGAAATTTCAACCGGTAACATCAGAGCCTAAATCTTATAGTAAAATTATCAGCTTAAATTCCAAATTTTTCTAGCAAATAGTGACAATTCATAGCAGCGCATTTTGTCCAACAAATCAAAAGTTTTTTTTATAAAAGGTACGCCTTTTTGTTACTTTTTGGAACTGTGCTAAATTTGTGGGTGTGTTCAACAAACGAAATTTTGTCGGATTGTTGCACTAGAATTCTGAACTGAAAAGGAGTAGGTTTTTAAAAACATTTTACGGCCCTTTTTTTGACATATAAAACAGTGTTTGTAAATGTGAAAGTTTTATTGGGAGATATTTAATCAACGCGTTGTTCTCTTGGCTTTCCAGAGTCATGCGGCGTTCAACTTATCCACTGATTTCCTGCCGCATTGTGCGTCACCGTTTTCACGGCTTGTTCGATTTTCGAAGGACCAAAACCTACAATGCGTGGGGCCAGAACGAAAGTGGCAGCAGCGAGCGTCCCGAAACGAAGACTCCCAGAAACGAAACCCCAAGAGCCAGTGCCACGTCGACGGTGATGAGCGATGCGGCGTCCTATTCGCGTGGCGCGAACACGGGTGCCCTGGAGCGTCGCATCAATCGAGAGGACAATATGTGGCGTGATCGCAGTTACATCGACACCAAATGGCTGAATCCCCGCGATCCCTCGGCCTATCGTCCGAATTTCCGTCAAACCGAGCCGATGTCGCTGCGGAAGCAGTTTATGCGCAGTCCGGATGAAATATCCCGCGAGGTGATGGGTCGCGATTGGGAGGAAACGGTCAAGTCCTTGAAGCGGAATGCCACACCCTTGGCCGCGGTGGGAACGTTGCGTAACGAGTCGCAAAAGATAGCGGAGGCCACGTGCAATCGCCAGCAGCACTTGCAACTGATGCAAATGCAACAGGATCAGCAGAAGCAGCAACAGCAGCAGCGAAAATCGAAAAAGCAACAGAGCCAGCCGAATTATTGGGGAACGAGGAACCTTGAACCCCCCAAGGATCAATGAGCATCTCGATAACAATTCCATAGAAGAACAGATTCCCCCGATATATCATTCATATCTTCCGGTCAAGCAGAGTCGAGCTAATTTGACTGTTATCTGATTCCGTCATAATCGACAATTGTTAATTTCGTTAAGATGTTCAACGCGAAAATGTGATCAATCACATCATTATTTTTTGCGAATCTATTATGTAGATCGAATCAAAATGAGTTGGGATATTGAAATGATGGTGATGATGGTAATGAACCCTTAAATTAAATTTGGAGCAGCATGTATGCAACACACAAATAAAAATGAATTTTTCTTAAAAAACAAGAACTTAAATATAAATGTGGGCCAGCTTGTTCCTACAGGATGTAATCGTTCTTTGGGTGACTTTATACCCGGGATAATCATCCCCGTAATGTCCCCGGAACTCATTCTATTACTGAAGCGCTTCACCAGGTGGATTACCTTCGAAACATCATCATCGCCATCAGGCACGTCCGCTTCGAAACGCCCATTCGGTTATATTAAAACCATTTTTCGCTTATTACCAAAAAATTTAAATATTTTCAAAATAATACACTGCGGGTGAGTTACTAAGTGGCAGCAGCGACGCCCACAAAAAAGCAAACAACGCACCATACTCCCGGGGAAATGGTATTTGGATTGGCTTGGGTTGAGTTCAGTTCAGTTGAGTTGAGTTGAGGTGGGTGGCTTTGTGGGTTGGGTGCGTCATCAGCATTCGGTATCATCAGAATGATGCCAGGCATGAGCCTTGCTCCTCCGGCCACCTTTGCACCACCTCACACAGTCGTCCTGGCCATTACTAATCCTCCAGCCCAACGGAACCGAACCCAAATCCAAGTAGCTCCGCACCCGAACCATCCATAAATCCACCCAAGCCACTCAAACCCCGCAAACCACCCAAACACCCACTGCTGTGCGCTATCAGCGCGCCTCGTGTTGATTGTCGCGCATTGCCATCAATGGCCACCCCTTCCAGCCTCCTCCGCAGGCCTTCTCCTTTCCTCGGCCAAATGCCTTGCCCCTTTCTGTTGCCCCCGTTCTAATGAGCATCATGCGTTCGTCATGATGATAATGATAATGACCAGTGGCTCGCAGGGGGAAATTGGGTTTTCATCGAAGGATCTGGAACTGGTAAGCCTTTTCCCAAAATTAAATATTATTATTGAGGTATTTTTCGTAATGTTAATCCCATAAAATTTCACTAAAATATAGTTTATTTATATATATTATTATTATCTTTGGGGGATCTGGAACTCTCTTTTCCAAAAATTAAATACCATTCTTGAGGTATTTTTCATAGTGTTAATCCCATAAAATTTCACTAAAATATAGTTTATTTATTCATATTTAGTAATATTGTTTCTAACTTTTTCACGAAACTTTACTCTGTTGTTTTGCTTTAAACCCCTTTTGCCAAGCCCGAAAACGGCACGCCACTGTGGAAAATGATAATGCTGATGGCCGTGGTGGTGTTGCCTTCTCATAGTGTCATATTTTTATGATTTTTATGTTAATTCACAACCAGCGACGACGTCGCGGTTGCCAGTTGTAGAGTCACCCGACCATCTCGTCTCCGCCCTTCGCAGACTCCTTCTTTCGCCAAATGCTTTTTAATCCTTTTAATGAAAATTAGTTCCTCTCAATAACATTTAATATATTTTCCTTTGCTCTCGGCGACTCCTTGTTCCTATCTCCCGTGCCCGTTGTTTTCACAGGCATTATCATAATTTCTGTTTGCAACCCTAAATCAACACGGCCGCCCCCAGGAAAACTCGATGAAGGGTTACTGGTCCTGTCCATTTTCGGTGGTTCACTGGGTTCCCCGAAATTTCGAGGGCGGGGGGATGGAAGGATGGCACAAGATGATGCTGCATACAACCGGGGAGACTCTTCATTTTTGGCATATATCACAAGGTGATAACCTAACACACCCACCCACCCATGTCCCCATAGCGCCGCCTTTGTCTTTGACCTTTCGCGTTTGATTTTCTATGCAGCGTTAAATGGCATTCTGGTCCGCGTGGCTTTTCCGTGAGCTCGGGAAAATTGAAAACCCAACGGCAGTAAAAATTAATGGGCGTAGCAAAGGTGTTTGCCAACTCGTAGAAGCGATTCACGCTCAGTAACAATCCGTTATCGATAATGTATCATAAGAGATTGGATCATCACGGTAAAAACACCCAAGATTACTTTTATCGCACTCATAATAGTTTAATCAATAGAATTGGGAGAAAAACATGCAGAGTGTGGTTTATTTTAAATTCTTATATTGAATTTAGCTGGCATTTTCGAGACGAGCTGGTTAAATTCGACTGCTGGCAAGCTGGGCGCCATAGACACTCCGCATTAGCTATGCGAATGATGCAGCCATAAAGAAGTTCATTAGATGCCGAAAACAGCGGGGGAGAGTGGAGCGCCGTGGAGTCCATGGTTCGATAGACAAAGGACGGCATCTCCGGGAATATTTTGTTCATGCATTATAATCATTATCATTATTAGCATTATTGTCAGGCAGGCAGGACCGAACAGAACAGAGCGAACGAACAGCAGACTCCGCTGAATTATGCAATGCAGTCCGAGGGGAAATGGGGCATTTGGGTTCTCATTTTCATTTTGGCGATGGAACGAACGGTGAGCCAAACCCAACTCGTTCATTTCGTTTTCGTTGTCAAATGCAAAAATCGCGAGCCGAAAGGCAGGGCGCTTCCTTTTCCTTTTTCCTCTGTGCTGAAAATTTTCCAAAAATTCTATTATTATTAATAGAGGCGAGAGAGAGAGGAAAGTCGGCGGCGTTGAGCGAGGCGACCATGACGACTGCGACTGCGACTGCCTTGGCTTTTGGATTTTGGTCCTTGTATTTGGCTCCTTGTTCCACGTTCCTTGCTGCCGGTATGCGTTTGTCTTTTCGTCCGAAAGCCGACTACAATAACCCCGAAAAATGCACACAGTTTGCATTATAATGCGAAATTTTCGATTGCTCATTTGTGGCATTTACTTTTTACTATAAAAGTTTTATAGCCAGCCAGAAGAGGCGGTCGCGGCTAATACACTGTGAAAAGCTATAGGAGAAGGGTTGGAAGAAATCAAGAAGAGCTATATTACAAAACAATAAAATGGTTGACACCTAATTTCTTATTTATTGGTCTCGAGTTTGAATGTTTAATAAAATGAGGATACTTTATCATATTTTAAGCAACTTCTTTTCAATTTTTTTTGTTTTAATCAAATGATTTTAAAGTGCAGCAGCAGCAGCAGCAGCAACATCAACGACAACGGCAACACGAAGCGACGACAGCAGCAACAAAATTTTACACAATGTCATCAACGGTGGCTGACAATGTTGGATGTGGACTGGGATGCGGGGTCCTTGGGTTGTTGGGTTGTGGCTGGAGAAGAACTGGGAAAGGACACTAAGACTCTGACAATTGTGTGCAATTTTTGGGTAGCAAACTTAAAGGATTACTTTTGGCTAATTTCGCACTGCTTTTGCCAATGCCCGAGGGCCGTTGGACAGCCTCGAGAAGTGAAGCTTCTCTTGTTGAGGCCGCTCGACAGAATCTTTGATGTTGCTCTGTTCCGCCTTAAAACCAGCGATTCTTTGTCTCCAACAAAAGGTGGGGGGGTTCAAACTCCCAGTCCATCCAAAATACAGATGAAATAGTGTGGGGCAATCGGATAATGTTCTTTGCAGCTGCAAAATCATCTACTTTTTAAACTCAACCCATTTATTGAGGTTTTAACTCGAATTAAACAGGTACAGCATCATATTTTTTGTTTACATTATTTAAGTAATATTCAAAATAGAATGTAGTTTGAAATACTGTTCATGATATCAACTAAGGGAAGTGAAATTACTCCGTCTGGGAAACTTTTCACCAACTTGAGTAGAGTTTCTCGGCCCAACAGCTGTGGAAAGCCACCTGACCCCATTTTCCCCGCCATTCGCCACTACGGTGTCTGTTCATAAGCCATAAAAATGCCAAAAACTCATTGACTTATGAGGCATTAGCTGGGCTCTACCCCCAAAATAAATTGGCAGAGTTAGACCAAATTCAAATTGGATTCCCCCCGAAAATATATATACAGACATATATACATTACTTATTACTTATTACTATATATAGGAATGCGGAGAGTACATCTATCTATATATAAATTAGCATTTTTGGACGACCGACGGTCGCCTTGGAATGGTTTATTAATGGCAAATTAAAAGCAATAAAAAACAGATGTGCTTAACGTGGCACATTCCGAAAAAGTGGGGTTCCCCTTGGGGGGCGGCGGGTGTTTTATATTTTTTGGACTGGGCTGCAGCTCATCAGGAGATTTTGCTGTGCGCACCTTTTGCCAAGTTCGGCGACTTTGTTGTTGTCGTTATGAAAATTACTTTGCTCTTTGCTGCCGCTGCGGCATTTATGGAAAAGAGGCGGCTGGGACGAACCGGGGGGCGGGGCAATATGGGTGGAGGAGGGGCCAAACACACGGGCGCCAAAAAAGAAAGTTTTGCATTTGAAATTCTGGTTCGTTCGTTCGTTCGTTCGTCTGTTGCGCTGCCGCTTTCGCCCTATGCAGTTTATCATTTTTGCAACGCGCCCCATTATCCCCACCCCCTCTATCCATTCAGGTGGGTAATTTTAATTTTAAGCTTGAGTAATGACAATATTTACTTCCACTTTACCGTTATAGTCAAGCGGTACACGCTTTAATGGCATTTTGATTTGAGATTTTCCACTTTGGCCCCGCCGCTCCTGCTTGACTTTTCGTCCTTTCTTTTTCCGTAGTTGACTCCAGCTGTTGTCCTTCCCCTTCCAGCTGTCGATTTTTGCATGTGGAAAGTCTCAAAAATTCGGCAAACTTGCAAAAAAATTAAACGTTTTGCAGGAACTTTAACCACTTTAAATATTCGTTACATTTAACTGATAAATAAATCGTATAACGGCAACATTATAGCCCCTGTTGCCGCAATCAAACACTCGCGATTGCAGTCAAACACACAATAAAGAGGATATTTTTTATGGCCAAGCACATAGGATATATCCCCCCAGTTCTAAAGTTTCCCCGACAACTTTTAGCCGTCTTACACAATAAGATGCATCCGTTTTATAGAACTTCTGATAGGGATTGTGGAACATAAACATACCTCCTCCCAGCTACACCCACTAACCCTTTCGGGAGATGCCCTCCTCTGACAAGATCAACAGAAAGTCATAAAAAATATAGATATAAGAATGTACACACACACACATACTGGCATTTGTATTTGAAGCTGGAACGTAGGACACTCGAAAAACGTCGACATT